ACATTTAATACGGAAAATTTTTTCAAGTCATTTTTCATCAGTTTTCTTTACTATTTTGCTGACTGATAAATGAAAATAAGGATTAAAATCGTGTTTTAATAACTTTAAATTATCTCTTTGATGTCATGGTGACATCAGCTCATTGGTTGAATTCAACATTGAAGCAAACAAAAATGCATTGCCTAATTCTATGTCATACGACATCCATTAAAAGAGATATTTTGGATCTCCATATTTTCCAAATTATCGTCTGTAAAAGAGTTACACGCTCCACAAAGGACCCTCATGTCAATGTCTAGTAATAGTAACTGTTACCAGCGCTCTCAAGCGGCAAGGCATTCCTTGGGATAGGTTTTTAAAGTTCAATCTGAAATATTATTCCAGGCGTCACTCCAAAATTGTCCAATTTGTTCCAATTTTGATGTAGGGCATGTAGGCAGTTGATTCGGCGAGTATTGGCTTACCCACATATTGTCTATGCGGTTCAAATGTGGCGATTTTGATGACCAGAGTAGCTGCTAATTCCCTTGGTTCTGTAAGTTATCTGCTATTAAAAGTGCTCTGTGTAAACCGACAATCTCACAGTGCAACCTAAAATTGTGCCTAATGTGCACCCTATCAAATTGAAAGTGGTTCCCAGATTATTCCTTTATTTGATCTGGTTCAAGTTTTCGTCAATGACTACCATTTGTGTTTTGGCACCAATGTGGTATCCTCTCCAAATACTAACGCTGTCAATGACCTGTGTCACTTAAGACGCGGCACATGCTTCGTCGTAGGCCTCTTCTGGATGACTGTAAACTCTGTTTTGACTAGTTGGGTGGTACAGGTGAAATTTGACATCAATAAAGAAAGCCACGTGGTTTCAGTGTTCTACACAGAAACGGCCATGGCCCCCAATTCATTAGAGAAACAGACGACGATGTTTTGCTGTTTACGGTGGGTACCTTGGAGGTCGTCTGGTATTCTAACCTGCTAAAACCAGTTTGGTGTTCGTTAAGGGCCTTGAAAAACGCATTTTGGTGGCAATTTACCCCTTGTTCTGAACGGACTGGGTGGCTTTTGTTAAGTTGCAGCAGCATATCCCGAAAGACAGTGCGTCCTGTACCCTGGAGGTATGATTTCGATGCATTGGGTGTGACATATGTGTATGTATACCAGTCTGGGCATTACTCTATAACACTGTGCGGACCGTTCCGTTTGGCGCTATAATCTGTCTGGTAATGTCTATATTTTTTGCGCCAATCTGTCACAAATTAACACATTTGTAAAGCACTACTTAGTTCATTTTACGCACTTCAAAACTGACCGCTTGCATGCAAAATTTCAAATTCTTCTATGCAGTAGTTGCCGACATACGGATACTTTTTTTGACAGAACCAAGCTTTGCCTAAGCCAATCCCTGACCAGCCCAAAGGAACACTACCCAATTAAATCACCGCATATTACATAATGTAGCAGCGCAACAGACATGTAAGTCAGTTTATTGGTAGTGACACATCTGACTACACACTTCTCCATTTACAAATCTTATATGATCGGAGTTTTTTGAAAAAAGAACGGATTTTTACCATACTTTCGAAACTCAAATATTCCATACTAAATGTCAAGTCTGTATATAGCAGACCACCAGAGTACCGCGGCAGATATATTGTAGTCATGACGGTGAGCCGTAAGACCATTTCAAAAAAAAGAAAAGAAAAGAAAAGAAAATAAATGAAATTTCTTAATCAACTAACACTGTATGACTTTATGAAAGTTATAGAAAATAGACTTTCTTAAAAAGTCATTGTCGAAACTAAGAGGATGGAGTTGTGTAGTCATATGACATGATGCCGAGTGTTCTTGTGCAAGCCGCAGCGGATAGCAGTGACATTATCGAGGAATCAATTGATGGACACAGAACAAAACATGTTGCTTCCCGATTATTTATCAAAGACTACAGTATGGACCTTACTCATAGAATGTACAAATGTTCATGTGTAATCTTACCCGAGAGGTATCAGATAGTAAGATAGTAATGAAGATATCCATAAAGATGAAAATAATGATATTTTGTAAATATTGTAAGGACTTAAATGATATATGTATTCATGTTGTTGATGGACTGTTCATTGAACAGTTACGCACTGCATTAGTCAAAAAGTTCTTTTAAAAGACTACAATACCTGCTTTTAACCCATATGTTAAATTTTTGAAATGCAGCATAATGACATTAAGCCTCGGTCACAACCGGCCGTACGGGCTCTTTGCGTCCAAATTTTACGCAGAGTCTCACGTCCCACGCAGGTCCTTCTTACGAAAATTCGAGTTCGCAGACAGCCCGCAAGCACGTACGGAGGATGTTGGACATGTCCAAAAGATTCTACGAGTAGCCTGCAAACAGCAAGGCCGCAAGGGCAACTTGCTCCCCTCGCACGGAGTTAGCAAGTGAGACGTGCGTTGTGCAAAACGCACGTCGCAAGCAAAGAAGGAGCAAATATCCTAAATGCGTGTTGAGTAAGGCGCACGCCTTCACAACTAACGAACAGAGTCGAGAGCACACCGGAGATGAGTCGCACGCACCACACCTGGTGTATAAAAGGCGTGCTCACGACGCAAGCTCGTGTCTTTACATGAACGTCGACTGTGTAACATGTACAACAATTTTCAAAATTTTCACATTTTTGCTCAATTTAGTTTCTCATATGCCTCTAAAAGGCAAGAGAAAGAAGCTTAGATAGCAGAAAAAAGGGAGGAGGAAGAAGAAAGAAGGGGAGAACACAAAACAAAACTGACGCACGCCATCAATACGTCATCACAAACCAAAATTCGTAGGGGACGTACGATCCTAAAATTCGTGCGTCCGGTTGTGACCGAGGCTTTAGGTTCACAAGTATGACAAAATATGAAAAATATGTCTTGATAGAAATGGTAAATTTGGTTATTATGAATATGCAGCTCATCATTTAGCCTGCACCTCGACGCCTTTACGTATGAAATAAACATATTTTAAGCTAGTTTTTGTTAAAGAAAAAAAGTGTGGTTTGACGGTCCAGAATTGTTATTTACGATGTTTGAAGTGAGGCATTACGGCGTACATTGAAGTAATACAAGTGTAATTTCATAAAACAGATAGAAATATAACTTTTAATGGACAGGGAAAATTGTATTACTCTCAGTGCAATATATAAAGTAATATGATCGCCCAAAGACCACCAACAAAGTGAATTTGCAGCAATAGTATAGAAAAGTATACTATGTTCTAATTAAGATTTTGAAAAGATTATCTTCTTGAAAGTAATATTGTTGGTTGATTCAGAATTTTTTGAGATTCAACTCACTTGTAAAATTAAGTAATTACCAACTAAATATTGACAACAAGGCTAAAATGTCAATTTTTCGCACCTTTTGCTGACTTTAGCGCCCCCTATTAATGTCACAGCCTATTGGTTTTATAGGACGACCACCCTGAAATAAACCGCCATACATTGGTCTATCATAACACAGTGTCAAACCGAGTATAGATTGCCAAAGAATTAAAAGTTACTTTATAATCCTCTTTTCAGGATCAGCGTCTAGTCTATAAATAGCAAAAATTTAATGGCTCTATTTCAACCAATGGTTTGCAATATGCCAACTATTATGAACACTTGGAGTAATTGTGAAACAACGTGATGTAGATATTGCTTTGTGGCTTAAAAGATTAGATCCCAAACTGGATTGTACATGACTTTGCTTTATATCTTGCCCCTCAAATCTGTGCACTATTCAACTCATCACTAAGAGAGGGTCATGTATCAGCCAAATGACTTACTAGAAATATGTCTGTTGTATGCTGTGCAAGTGTGCCATCCTAGGCTGACTAAATGCCAAGCTGAAAAAATATCCGTCGGAAAAGTGTTTTAAGATACTGCATCCAAACATCTCGTACACCGAGGCATTACAAAACAAAAACAAAATGTGTTCCCTTGTCAACCAGGTGTAATGACTTATGTCTAAAAATGTTTACTAGCATCTGTGGAAGAGCATAGACTGAAACTTTTATTACCAAAAGTTTAGACATTCTCCGAGCTGCTACATTGTATATCCCAATGTTTATCACTGTTAGAACTGCAAAGACTTTTATCCAATGGGCCATAAGAAATTTGAATTTACTGGTACAAACTATTTTATAGAAATTGAGTGACATATCTTAATAATTTAATTATTTAATGTTAACAAATTATTTTAAAGAAAATGCTGCTTAAATATTAAAATTGAATTCTTTTATAACATTGAAGTATTTTAAAGAAGCAGCGTAAGATTTAATTTTTTAACCAGTGAGTTTTTCTTTAATGTTTAAATGCATAATGTGTTTTAGTTGCTTTTATCGCTCTTTTATAGCTTACATGTAAAGTCCAATCTTTCTTTGCAAGAATTAATATTATAATTACATTATTATGATGCAGAAGAATAGATCGAGAAGGACATTGGTGCCAGCAAGACAGGACCATCCCACACATAAAATGACTCCCTGTGTTGGCAGAGAGAACGATTTAATTAGTGACTGATCAACGGGAAGTGTGACGTTGAGTGGCCAACGCATTCACCAAACTTGAGCCGCCTAGATTTTTATCTGTCAGAGAATCTCTAGAATGTGAACAACCGTCAAACGATGATGAACCAAAGGCAGCAATCACAGCAAAACCCAGGGAAACCTCGAAGGAGGAATGTGTTCTAGTAATAGACACCTTCAACCGTTTGTAACTGTGCCTCCAATGTAGCAGATGTAATTTGGAGCATATTTTTAAATATAATATATCTTTTATGGCAAGCAACCAAGATGATGAAGATATTGAAGTTTTAGTCCAGCAAATTTCTTAAAATCTGATGGACCTATGTAGAATCTATTAAACTTTTTTTTTGTGGGGGGGGCTTACCCTACATTTTTCTATGAAGCATATTATATCATTTACGTCAATAAATGAATCATCTACTAATCCTGCAAAATAATATAATAACAACGAAGCAGAACTCACCTCCAAAATATCTGATAGACCTTTAAAGTTTTCAAAGCGATGCAGATTGTAGACACGCATCCCGTACCACATTTCCCAAAGCATGACCCCAACCGTGTACATATCTGCAGGAGCCCCGTACTTTTCCTTCTTCAGAATTTCTGGTGAAATGTAAACCAGTGTTTCACATTGTGCACCAGTGATGTCACACTGCGGTTTTGTCAGTCCCACATCAGCAAGTCGAACTTCGTTTCTATCTGTAACCTGTTGGCATAAAAAAAAATAAAAAAAAAAAAAAAAAAAAAACACACACACACGCTACTTTGAAAAAAAAAAAATTCAAAATTGGATCTAAACATTTGAAAGATTTTCATACAGATATAGATGCGTACTAATGTTCAGTTGCACTTGTTTGCATTAAATATTTGTCACGCATTCCATTTCCCTTCCGTTCAATGGTCTTTATCTTGCTTATCTATCTTTTAATAAAACATCTGTATCTTATTAAAGAAATTCAGTATACTACATATGCATTTGGACATTTATTCTATTACCAAATGCCGAACAGATTTTATTTTATTTACCGAAAACATTTGTCCTATAAGCAAAGCCATGAGCTAGTATGTAACATTAGGTGCCATTACCTGTTAATAAATAAAGTTGAATCATATTCTTCTTATTCATTCAACAAATTTTCACACTCATAGTATCTTACCAATATGTTTTCCGGCTTCAAGTCTAAGTGAATGTATCCCTGAACATGCATGTGTTCTAATCCGGTACAAATTTGCTCACCAAAGCAAGCGACTGTTCGCACGAGGCTGAGGTCTAGCGGTTTCTTGACACCGGGGTTTTTTACCTCTCCACGGCCATTGGGATTTATCACATCTGCCAGCGTTGTAGGGCAATGCTCTATTAAAGTGACAAGATACCTCTTTTCACCTGTTGTGATTTTGGCGCTGCTTCCTATGAAGTTGGCTATATGTGGGGTTCCGGTAAGTCTCCTGTGTCAACAAAAAAAGTCAAACTGACTACATCATGCATTATCAGTAAGAAATGTAGGTAAATTATTTTTTCCTACAACTAGTACATTATAAGAGTGCAAGAGAATTCAAAACTCCCCTTTCCTTAACTATTGCACGGAAAGAAATTTTTGCAACTGAAAGAATTACAAAATAAGATAGCAAAATCCTAGCATCTATCCTAATCTGTACATCTCACCTCAAACATTCCTCATTCTGTATGGCCTCACAAACGTTCTCTGCTGTTACAAACTGCTTCATCACCTTTGCTGTTGCCTTGACGTTGTTTCTCGACAGAAGGGTCACGACGCAAACTTCGCCAAACGTGCCAGTGGCAAAAGCGGGCGCATTCCAACTTATTTCTGTCTTTGCATTGATGTTTTCCCGGATTTTGGTCACGTACAGCAACCCTAGACATCCCTCCAACTCCTCATTCCGACGGATATATTTTCTATACAGCTGCAACTCTGATTCATCTGTGTTATTCTCACTAAGCAACCGTTTGATGATCACAGCGTCTTCATGTAGGAGTTTGGGAATAACACTGAGTAAGTTATTCATCGTAGCAACTGCAGAATTCAAATGCTGCGCCACTTCTTTAGACAGGTTTTCTTCAGATAAAAAATATTCAAGTACATTTTTTGCAAAACAATTCATAAACTCTGCTTTGTTTTTTCCATACTTTGTAAAAGCATTGGTCTTGATGACATGCGCTATTCCAAGGCCAGCAGGGATGACGAAAAGTGCAGCTACAAGGCCTATTGGAATCCAAATTGGAGAAGTGACACCAAGCAATATTTTCTGAGCAGTGGAAAAAGTAGCAGTGTCTTTCACGATCCATAAGCCTGTGGGTTTTGCGTCCTCGATTTCGAGCGTATCGTTGCTGATTAACTGACTTTCCAAAAAAGCGACTTGGTTATCCATAATGTTAAACTCTATATGGAACTTTCCAATAAGCTCCCTCTGTGCATCTGTGAAGAAATTGGTTTTGGTGTTCCATTCCTCCAAAAGTTCGCGGATTCTTCCAAGGACAAGGCTTCTAGCTTTTGAGTAAAGGTCCAAGTAGCCAGTAGGCTGTGGACAATCGTCCTCTTCCCATGTAATTACACGCTCGCTATTCCTCTTCAGGTAATCTTTGATTTGCTGTGCAGCTTCTTGAGCCTTTGTGTCCAAAAGTTCATTTAATTTAATGCGCGTCTCTGAAAAAGTGCCCTTAATTTTTGCAATCTGTTCCTCGATTTCAGCAGCTTTTTTGGTACGCTCTTCCTTTGATTTTTCACAGATGACCAAAGCTAACTTAAGATGAAAGGCGGATCTACGCAGAATGTGGACCACCGACCTACAATGGGGAATGAAAAAGTGATTAAACTGTTTGATATAACTGGTTAATTTTGTGTTGTTTTAAATATTGTATAATTAAAGAAATCAAGTGGTCATCTGTGCACCTGTGGTCCATTCATACACTGTAAAAACAGTGTTTAGCTCCTAAACACATTTCTAAGCGCCTGTTTTGTCTCACTTTTTCCACACGTTTAGCTCCTAACATGTTTAGCTTCTTAACATGTTACACGCTTGTGTTTAGCAGTATGACGCGTTTGACGGCTTTATATAGGGTGTATTTGTTTAACTTTTAGGTGCTAAGTGTTTCAATTGTTTTAGTCGCACTCACACACACACACACACACACANAAATGGGCTTTTCGAAAAGAGAACTAGGTCGTCAGCATAGAATAGCCCAGACACCGGTTTGTTAATGATCAGAGGAGGGTCACTTTTTGAATTGTCTATACCTCTTAGTAAATCATCTACAAATAGGTTAAACAAGAATGGGCTTAGAGTATCCCCTTGCTTAACACCTTTATATGTGGAGAATGAATCGGTGATGCCAGAAGGGGTTTTAACACAAGCCGTTGCATGGCTATACATGGTTTTGATATTTCTGTAGAATTTCCCACCAACCCCAAGCTTTAACAGTTTATACAGGAGACCCTCTCTCCAAACACAGTCAAACGCCTTACTGAAGTCTATAAAACACGTGTACAGCTTTCTTTTAGACCTAGCGAATTTTGTTACAAGTGACTTGAGAATAAATGTGTTGTTTGCAATACTGTGATTTTCCCTAAATCCTGCTTGATGGGGGAGTGGGACGCCCTTCTTTTTGCATTCGCTTTTAAGCCTGGTTAGCAGGAGTGAGTTATATAATTTTCCAACACAACTGGTTATGGAAATTCCACGATAGTTGTCTGCTTTGCTGGAGTCGCCTGATTTGAATATAGGTATAATAAAACTTTTATTCCAAATATCTGGATATTCTGCTCTGTGGAAGAAGGCATTAAATAGTTTGTGAAGAATTAGTGCTATTATTGTTTTACTGGATTTTAACATTTCATTTGTGATTTTGTCTTCCCCAGGTGATTTATTGTTTCCTAGGGAGTAGATTCCCTTAGTAATTTCCTCTGTGGTTATCTCATGATCTAAGAGACTGATATTGTCATTATGTGCATTTTTCACCGGAGAATTGTGCCACGAATTAGCCAGAGGCATATCTTTGAGCATCTAGTGAGAAACCAATCTGGGTCACTGCTGAAGGGTTACCCGTGGTCCTGTATAGAGTGCTTGTGCAGAAGTTCTGACTTGAACCTGAGCTATTTAATATATGGCGACTTATACTGTTTGAACGGACGCCTTTAACACAACAGGAATATTTCGGCCTACAAGGCTTGGATGGACGTTATGCCTAATAAATGCGCTCTTAAACACAGAAGATATATGGCGGCCAATAAATGTGCTCTTGAACACAGCAGATATATGGTGGGCAATAAATGCACTCTTGAACACATCAGATATATGGCGGCCAATAAATGTTAAAACGCAAGCTATAAGCGTCAAATATACCTGTGTTTACCTGTATCTCCTTATAATGTATGTTATTTAACAATGAGTTTTTATTTATAGTAGTAAAATTTAATGTGCTCAAACATATTATTATTATTATTATTATTATTATTATTAAGCACAGCGCCAGGTGGCGGAAACTACAGGTACCTGTAGGTAATGTTTGTCGAGATCAATAGCGCTTTTCTCACATACTCAGATAAAAACGTATCATTCAAGTGATATATTTAAACATGCCTTCAACCTTTTTTATCAGTCTCAAAGTGACACAGGTGACACCGGTTGTTACAAGTGTTATAATAAGAATGATGATAACAGTCTGGAATTTTCGAACGTTTATTCTCCGACTCTCTTTTTTCATAGAATCTACAAATATTTATACTCTTTTTTCCCAAAGAATTTTCCATTCTCATATTACAAAACGCTGTTCAATATTTCCAAATTTAGTAATTTTAGTGAAACTTGTTTTTAATTTAAAACATTTAAAATATTTCCCAATTACTCATGCTTGGACCTTGTCCATCTCGAGTATGCATGAGTTTTACACGTGTTAGAAAGGTGCAAATCTATAGGAAAATTAACCAATCAGATTCAACTATATGTGACTTTGAAATGTTTCATCATTCCTTACTTCGAGAACAGTCTATACACTTGTTGACACTTTAAGATTTTTAACATGCACTCAATAACTTCCTATACATTTGATTCTGTTTAATTGTTTTGTAATTATCGAAAGTGTATGTCATTTGCTTTGCAACACAAGTGCATATTGAGCGAGTGCCTTATTTATTTAAACTCTTCCATATACCACCATTTTGTTTCGAGCGGGATACCCAAAGAAATACCACTGGACTTCGTTACATTATTTCGGAATGTTTGGCTGGGTTCCCATGCCTACATCGATCCATCTGGATCTGTCTAACTCCCTGCAGAGTCTCACTAAATTGCTATCCGAATCAGCTAGGGGGTTAAGATAATTGCCCCTAACAGCTTTAATAGGCAACAGACAGTTAAGCCGGTTAAGTTGATAGCATTTTAGTGAGACTCCAAAGTGAGATAGATCGGTCCAAATTTCTGTGGGAATGGTCCCTTTTTAGCAGTTTTTTTTTTCTCTCACAGCGTCAAGGTCTCTAAACTGTGTCTTTCTTAGTATCACACTCCAATATTTTTAAACAGAATTAAAATTCGGAGAGGCAACCTGATGCGATCACGTTATACTTGATATAGCTTCAGGAAAAAAGACATTTTTCGGATAATTTCAGATGGCGAATAGAAGGCATCTCGGCAGTAACTTTGCACGGAATTTAGACGTGGTTCTATTGGGGAACGAAGTTTGTTCCCATGAAGACGCGGTCACTTCGCGATGTCCCTCAGAGCCAAAGGAAGACAGCGACTGTTTCACCCATAGTGAGAAACCATCGACTTCATCCAGCAACGACGAATCAGACAGAGAGGGAGCCAGTCGGTGGAAAAAATGGTTCAAAAGAAATCCCAAAAACAGAAAACCACAGGAAGATGTCGAGGCGGTGGAATTGAGAGATCCGCAGGATGGTAAAGGAAATGACGCTGAGAATGCTGTTTTGTCAAGCGTGGCTGACGGGCAGGGGTTAAACCCGTTACCAAACGAAAACACTTCTACAGGCAGTTTTGATAATATTGACATGGGAGATTCTTATCCCCAAAACACTTACCCGTCAGATTACTCCATGCAGTCCCCGGGACTTGACGACTCCAACGCCCCTCTTCTGTCACGATCTACCAGAGACAGTTCCAGTAGGAGTATAGGCCGCAGGCTGGGAGATGCAGGTGGCGCGCCGCATCCTTCCTCCCTTCAAAATGACACGGTAGAATTGGCCAACGAAACCCTCCTCGGCTCAACTATAAAGCCTCCTGCTGCTGCTACTCAATATGACCTTTCGCTGCCGTCACCACCACAATCACCACCACCCCCTAGCAAAGACCGGTTTCAGATTTCAAACAACCAGACTGCAACGCCGAAGCCAGCAGACCAACTCTCGCCGGAAGAGCCTTGTGCGCCTGTTGAGAACCTGGACGAGGTTGACTATGCCTCCCCCACTGGTGCCGTCCCTCACAGTAGGTTACCCACGCATATTGCCGACACTCTTAGTGATGGAGGGAAGTATGGCAATATAGAACCCGTATCTCACAATTCCAGAACGAAAGGAACAAAGAGCAAACCATTGGGACCAACGGTCAGTAGAGATATGCTGCAAAGGACAATAGACGACGGGGCAGACATGGACGGGATCAAGCGAGCACTAAAGAAGTGGACGTCGTTACCAAAGAAAGATGATCACTATAATCCGATGATACAGGCGGCATTGAAGAACGACATCCAGGTTTGCCAACTACTGAAAGACGAGGAGAATTTAAAAATCGCCGACCCTCACGGTTATTTCTGCGACTGTAAACTCGACCAAAGCGACACGCTGAATCATGCGCTTTATCGTGTGAACGCGTATAGGGCTATGACGTCACCGGCCTATCTTCTCACGAGGAAAGATCCAGTAAAGGCGGCTCTGGAGACGAGACAAAAACTGTTCACAATGGCGAAACAGGATGAAGAGTTCAAGGTATTTTGTGAAAAAAATTGTAAACATTTTGAAAAAAAAATTAAAAAAAGAATATTAAGATACAATCGGTAAGAATGTTTTGAGTTTGTCTAATAATTTTGACAGAAAGAAACGCTGAATTGTTTGTAAATTTATTTAAGATATTTTTACGGGATATGGCTGGGGGATTTCTGACATTTTCAATGAAATTTGAATAAGAAGGTGGAGTTCGGATTTGTAAAAAGTGAAAGAAAGTGCAACCACGCACATGTACGCACGCATTCACGCACACGCACACCAACACGCACAGTCTGTATTTGACAGTTACAACCACCCAGAAAACACATAACTTTACGATAAAAAAAGTGTATCAAATTCTAATCAATAGATACCAATAATTGCAATGTGAAGTAAATTATCAAAACTATGAATAAATATGCGACTTGAATAATATGCAGCTTTCCCTCCCACGCAGTCAGAATATCTACAACTGACCGATAAATGCGAGACGTTTGCCTGGGAGATGTTAGACCTGGTACGAGGGCGAGAGGAGCTGTCTTTGATCCTGGATAAATCAGCCAGTGGCTTTTCAGAATTAGGGCTAGTGCGAAGAGTTATGGACGAAGGAGCCAAGAAGGTAGGATGTACTGAAGATATTTTCATTTTTCGACAAACACATTTTTATCTCTTGAATGAGGCATTTTATTGGGGCCATTCAGAACGAAAAGAGACGAGTGCTAGCTGGGCCACTACCTAAATATGTCGGGCCTACATGAAAGGAAGACCATTAAAATGGTCTTTTAGACCGCTTAATGGTCGCTTAATGGTCTCTTCGCCTCTTTCGCGGCTCCCCACGCGTCGTCCCCAGACCGGTTGAATTAAGCCGAGATTTGATTACTGTGCCCCTGCATGCTGCTCCACTGTGAAGCGGGCTTCAACAATGACTCTGAAGAACAGCGAAAGTGTACGATTTCCGTCAATCAAAAAGAACTGCTCCGCAGAGAATCTGCAGTTGAATGTCATTAGACCAAAATGAAACGTAAAACAGATTTAATTCTGCTTTATTTATAATTTCATTAACTGTACCGTATTAAGATGTAAAGTGAAAAACAAATAATATGTTTTTAAAAGAAAAAAATATATCCAATGTTTTTGTGTTTTTGCTTATCAAAGAACATTTTCTCCTGAATATTTAATCACAATACACGTGTTTGCCGTGTGCCTTAAGCTACACTGTATGCCCTATACCAATATAAGGGCTGCGCAATGGTTAGACCAAAATCAGTTTTTAAAGCAGAATGTTGCTTGTGTTGTGGAACTGACCTTCGACTGCAAGACATTCTTAGTTTAAACTTCAAACTTCGCGTCAGCCACTTTATTACTTGTCTCGTCTGCACGAGATAACGTCAGCGCAAGGCGGGAAAGGCAGCTCCAGGCGGAACAGAGCTGTGACGTACAAAACTTGTGACTTCCAAATAAGGAAGCTCCAGGCGGACACAGCTGTGACGTATGAGACTTGTGACTTCCAAATATGGAAGCGCCCCAGGCAGAATTTTGCCGAAGAAGGAACGCCTCCAAGTTGACGGTATTCGCTAGAGTCAGTTTTGCTGATATGGGTTATATATGAAATCAAGATCGAGCCGGCAAAACTGAAATCTAGAACCCAGGGTACTGCAGGCACAACGCGTGGAAAAGCATGTGAGAGGCGGAGAAACATTGCAGAATTAAGCGGTCTTCCTTCCATGTAGGTCCGCCAAATTTAGGTCGGGGCCTAGCTAGCACTGGTCCCTTCTCGTTCTGAATGGCCTTAGTGTCTCCCGGAAACCTTCATCCGTCCACATTTTGATTCTGTTTCATTTTGATGTAGATTTAGTGTTGAAAGAATATTGAAACATCTCAAGAAGTAAACGGTTGTGTTTGTGGTGCGACCCAAAACACAACCGTTTACTCCTTGATAAAATGGTCCCCATAACAAATTGCATGACTTCTGCATGTTTTAGGAAGGCGTGTGTTAGTTGAGATTCTGCTGCAGATCTTTATATTTAGTCACTTCAAAAGGTACATGTAGAAACCTGGTATTACCTATGCTTTTTTCGATCATTGGAGTGTATATTTATCATACTAATAACAAGAAATGACTATGCCATTGGAAACAAACACTTATAAGACGGCAACAGCCTCATCACAGAGAAGCCTCACGTACCCCCATCCCCATCCTGTCGTTGCTTTAGAGGAAGTGGAGGACACTTTGTAACGTTTTAACACGGTAGAAGTACTATAATACCTAATTTTTATGCCGATGTGTGACGGACATTGAAAAACCGGAAAGGTAAATCCAACAATTACTATCATTTTGACTGATGTTTAATGAATATTCCATGCAGCATTAAATCAAACACACAGAAAAAAGATTGATACACTCATAGTCCCTCGTCTGATGGCTGCAAAGTCACTTATTTAAAACCGTATTTCAGTTTGTTGCCCACCCATACGTCCAGCGACACTTGAATATGGTGTTTTATGGCCGCGATCATAATATAAGGCGACGAATGCTGACCACAAACAATTTTCTAAAGACGATCTTCATCGTGCTGGCGTTGCCAATTTGGATTCTGCTGTTCTTGACTTACATTCTGTTCGGAGCCTTTGAAACGTTGGAGAAGGTATGTTGAACAGGTGCAATTGTTCACCTGGTTTATTACCACATGTTAAACATTTCCTGAAGCCCTTTTAAGATTTGCACAGGAACACTTTTAAAAATTGGCATGTGTTTATTTTTATTGGCCATGTTAAACGCATAAGCTGCGTTAGGGTAATTCTCTTATGTAAAAACCAGTTCCCATTCTCTCAAAGTGCATCGATACAGACGAAGGTGCTTAAGCATGCAATTCGAGGTCCAAAGGGCATAAGAAAGTTTTTTTTTGTTTTGTTTTGAATAGTTTGATTGAACGTTCCTAATTTTCGTTATATTCAATTTCTTATACCATTCAATGAATTCAGTGAATCTACTTATACCATTATCTATACCAACTTAAACAATCCTCTTTTGCACTGTGAAAGCACACATGCATACTACTGTAATTTCTAACTTAAATTCATGTCCTTCACACTATCTAAGTAAAACATGTAAATCTCATATACCTTGTACACTTAGGTGTTCTGCAAAACAACAGTTAACACCCACTGACTTAAACTGACATCTCTACGAGGCACAATTTTCTAGCATCTCTGCGCAGCTAACCCTCTTTAACATCACTTGTCGAAAATGACCAAACCTGTCTGGAAAAACCTGCTGAACCTTGGGCCAGCAACCACGCGGTGCTATTTAATTATGAGTACTAAATCACCAACTTGCAGATTCCTTTTTGGACGCAGCCACTTCTGTCTCCCCTGCATTGTAGGTAGGTACTCCTTAAGCCAGCGATCCCAGAACTGATCTGCTAGCTGCTGTGCTCTTATTTTTTTCACTTCAGTGAGTACTGCCATCAGAGTCTCATCATCTACTAGTCGATTTCCTAGGATAAAACGCAATATATTCCTGATTGATCTAATAATTCCCAAACACCACCTGTATGAATAGCAGATGGAGCATTTAAGGATCACTGAATATCATTCTGACGAAGATTATCTTCAATTCTGACACAGTCCCACTGCTGCATGAGATAGAAAGTACTAAGTCTTGTTGAAAACGTCGTTTTAGCAGATTAATCTGCTTCTTGGTCCTTGACAAATTATTGGACAAACATGGCTGGTCATATTTTCAAGGCAAACCAATCTAGTAGTAGCCATCAATAAACACCACAGATCTGTCCATGATATATCTTGCAGGTCTATCTTCCATGGAGAAACTATCTTTAACATCTGCTATGTTATCACTAAGTTCAATCATCCACTTTTGTTCGAGATTTGCAGACACAGATTCCATGCACTCTATTGGGGTGCTGCAATTCACTGTTTGATCTAAGTGGATTAAATTGGCAGAAACTGTCTTGGTTTTAGTCCCGTTTTCACAGACGGGCCCCATAATGGTCTGACCTAAGATCGTTTTAATGCCAACTGGCTGTTGTCTCTTTCCACGGCGCTCATCAGTTAACCATTGCACTTCTGGGACATCACAGCCGATGAGTAATATCTCAACCTTCTTATCTTCTAACTCTTGCATGTTGATATCTTTCAAGTGTGGCCATCATTAATTTGAGCTTAGCTTTTTAAGTTCAAGTTGCTCTTTCCTTCCATATATGGTCTTCGCAGCATTAACTGTGGTCAACTTGTAATCAACTGGCTCCCCCCCTCAATTCCCAAACTTTCAGGTAGGCTCGTTAAACACATACTAGTGTCCGAGACACTATCGAGAAATGCGTATGTGCTGATTTCCTGTCCAGAATATTGAATACACACTCTCATGGAAAGATTGGAAGAACAGTTATACGTTGTTGGTGGCATTTCCCGAGGTTTACTGATGACTTCACGGCACCTGCATGTGTTGACATCTTTGGAATGAGAGTGCACATCTGAAAGACTCTGAGTTGCACTTGGACTCCGATGCATTGCTGTGTAGTGTCGTCAGCCACAACCTCAACTATACACATTCTTTTGCAAAGTGCGGTGGGTTTGCAGACAGAGATTACATAGTTTGTGCTTACGTGTGGATTCCCCCCTCTCTTCATGGGGAATCTTTGAGAATCAGAAACAGCGTGTGAGATTATGATTGTTTCTACCACAAAATAAACAACCTTTGGTATCCTGTTTTGACTGTGTTGTTGTTGTGGCTAATGATGTAACATTTTATGCAATAGCTGGTGATGCCTTTTGTCTGGCGTTGCTAGGTTTCTCTGGTCTGGCTCCAATTAACATCCCATAACTTGAAACAACATAGGTTTGATTATGATAAACAGTTACTGTTGGCAACAATGGGACACTAACATTGTTTGAATCAAATTTATTTGCATGATGTCATTCTAAAATTTTATCCCACTTTCCACCTTCTTCCTCCCACAGCCTTGCCTCCAATTGGACAATCAACTTTTTTTTTTGCTTTAAGTAGGTTACATTGACTTTCACTCTCTTGTCTTTTGTGTTTGAATTCTTGTTCACCCTCATGTCTTTTGCGCACTTGTTCCTGTTCATAGATCATTTGTTTATGCTTCAAGTACTCTTCTATAAAGAGTTGTATGAGTTTTAGCCTGGCAACCCAGGCTTTCAACTTTGACTCTTTCATCTTCTCGCTGACTCGACTACTGGCTTTAGACAACCTTGAGCTGGAGCTGCCTGTGTGTGAGCGGTCTGTTAAATGACGCTGTCTATGACGATATTCACGCCATTCCAAAAGTATTTGGTCAAATTCAAGTTTCATTTTTTTAATATTCAACGCCATTTATTAAGCATACAAAGGAATTATACAAAATATTGTCAATAATATCAGTAATATCAATCATCATACAGCATTTCGTAAACATATATAAAATATATACAGTGGGAAATAAACACAATGCGAGGAGGTCACTGAAACACATTACCCAACAAATTCCATCGTTCAGTATATTCTACATATTTTCCATTACTTATATACACGTATTTTTCCATTTCGAAATATTTTTTTAGTTTATTTTGTAGACATTGAAAATCTAATCTTTTTTCATTCATTCTTTTTCCATATATATATATATAATACTTCGTAACCAGTATGAGTATATTAATGGCTGCACATTTTGTATCGTTTTTCAAAAACAATATATCTGCTAAAGAAAAATTGATATTCAAGAGTGATTTCTCATTTATCAAGTTTTTTAAATCTTCCCATAGCGGTTGAATCAAATCATAATAAAAGAACAAATGTTCAATGCTTTCATTTTCCTTTTCACAGAAAAAACACAATGAGCTATCTTTAACCTTAATTCTTTTAAGAAATTCATTTGTTGCAATAATTCTATGTACTATTCTATATTGAAACCATCTTAAAGTCGTATCTTTCGTAAAGTAGAAATTTTTTTTTTATTTATTATAGTCCAGTTTAAATTTTAATCAATATTTATGTTCATCTCCCATTTAGCCTCAGATGCCGGTTTACAATACGCATAATTAATCAATATATCATATATTGATCGCGATCCCTTAGATTCTTTACAGATTATTTCTATAAATTTAGGTCTGTAGGGTAGCGCCAATTTGACATTTTCTTCCCTTAGCTGTGGCCACCGTTGTGTAATTGCAGTCTTAACTCCGAGAAATAATGTAAACGGACATTTAATGTCATACTAGGAACTAAATGTTTCGAAAGAATGCGGTTTTCCACTATTTCCAAACAGGTCATTTACTATATTTACGCCCCTGTCATTCTTAGACTTAAAATAAATATCATTATTATCCACCCTCACCTCTGAACTATTCCATATAGGCTTTTCAAAATATCTTTCAAAGTATCTGAACTTGAGATATCTCTTTTAAAATCTGCATATTAAAAAACGATTTCTTTCCAAAAACAATTGGTCATGTTTTTCGCACACCTAACCAAGTATAAGTCTCCCCGATCAATAAGTCGATTTATATTAATATTTTGTGTATCTATCATAAGTCTAACCCAATCTGTGTCATTTTTTGTCATTAGTTTCCTTATCTAAATTAATTTTAAGCTTTTTATAAACGTTTCTATGTCAATCATTCGACAGCCTCCACATTCTATTGGTTGAATAAGCACCTTCCTAGCTATCCTATCCCTTTTATTGTTCCAAATAAATTTAAAAAGCGCGTTTTCCAATCTCTTTATCGTTTCATCTTTTGGTTTAGGTATGGAGATAAATAAGTGAGTAAATTTGGATAAAAGAAGGGTTTTCACTACTGTATTTTTTCCCAAAGGGGCTAAATTTCTCCTATTCCAACACGTTATTTCCTTTTCAACTTCCAATAATCTATCCGAGTAATTTAAGTCTTCAATATTTTCCAAATTTGCATTAAGTGTTATACCTAAGGCCACAAAATTGCTATTTGTCCACTGCAAATTATATTCGGGGCAAAGAACCACGTCTGAACCGCGTTTAGGCCCGACCCAGATTGCTTTTTTTTCTATGTTAGGTTTTAAGCCTGAAAATTTGAAATATTGTTCTTATAGATCGAGAGTGCTTTTCAAGCTATTTTCCGTGCCATCAAGATATATCATCGTGTCATCTGCTTACTGAGACAGGAGATATTCTTTTTCTCTGATACGAATTCCTTTAATATTTGTATTATTTCTTAACAAAATGGCCATAATTTCTGCACATAGATTAAATAAATAAGGTGAGACGGGATCTCCTTGCCTGCATCCGCGCCCTATCTTAGAAGGTAGAAAAAATGCCGTTCTGAATAACGCAAAGGTTAACATTTTGGTTCATTGTTTTTTTACCCATCGTATGAGATCATGGCCAAAATTGAAGTACTTTAGAACTTGATAAATAAACCTCCATGAAATCGAATCGAATGCTTTTTCAAAATCAATGAGAAGAATCATTCCAGGTATATTATAATTTTTACAGGCCTCAATTATGTCGTAAGTTATTCTTGTATTCTCCCCGATAAATCTACCTGACAAAATCCTTTTTGGTTCTCATGCAATATTTCTGAGAGGATCGGTTTTATTCCATTTGCTATATAACTGGAGGTGATCTTATAGGTTCAATTTAGTAGCGTGATTGGTCTCCAGTTTTTTAGATAATCTCGTGGTTTGTTTGCTTTAGGAAGTATATTTACAATTCCCTGTCTTTGTGTAATAGAGAATTCGCCTCTATGAAATCCATATTTAATAGATCGTACAAAATAAACTCCTAAATTTGTCCAGAAGAATTTGAAAAACTCATTCGTGAATCCATCTGGACCGGGAGTTTTATCATTTTTCATAGCCCGAAGGACAGCACTAGCTTCATTATATGTAATCTCTCCCTCCAGTCTTTGTGAAATAGTTTTGTTGATTTTATTGACTTTCAAGTCTTTTAAAGTAACTTCAAGATCTACCTTTCCGAGAATATCACCTTTAGATGCATGTAGCTGTTATAGTAATTTTGAATTTCAGAAAGAATCTCTGTCTGGTCTGTTACTATTTTATTTTCGTTATTCCGCACCTTTGTTACTGTTTTATTAATATAGTTCCTTTTTTCCAAGGCACAAAAGTGTTTACTAGGTTTTTCGCCATATTCGACCCACTTAACGCGGGAGCGTACTATATTTCCCTTTAGTTTTTATTTTCTAAGTTCCTCTAAGTCTCTTTTATATTGCGCTAATTCATCAATATTTTCATTATTTTAATTTTCCAGTTTACTCATTTTTTCTATTAAATCATCCTCAGCCTTCTCCCTCTCTCTTTTCTTTGCCGATGCACAGGATATAGAATGCCCCTTATATTTAAAAGAAGTTGCTCAAAAAACCGCTGGTCGTTAATAATAAACGATAGTATCTCATCGTCAATATTTGGCACAGCTTCTCTTAAAAAGGGAGTGGCCGCATATTGCATTTTTCGTTTCATTAATTACTTTACATACTAGATCTCTATACTCTTTATCTTTAAGAAGCAGATTATTATGTTTCCAAAAGCCTTTACCGCGTTTAAAAGAAGTGAATTTTACAGTCATTTCTACTATAGCATGGTCTGTTCTATATCCTGGCTTGATTGTAATGTTTTCAATCATATTGAGTAATTCAGATGGAATTAAAAAGAAATCGAGTCTAGCTTTTTTAACTGGATTGCTAGCCCTCCATGTATACCTTTTCGCTTCACCATGTTTTAATCTCCAGGGATCATTTAAGTTGTGTTTAGCTTTTATCCCAAGTACCTTCTCTCTGGCTCTAGGATTATTCACAAACCTATAATTATAACAATCTACTTCTGGCTCCTGTACAAGGTTCCAATCACCTGTAATCAGCAAAAAATCATAATCTGAGTTAATTATACACTGATCAATATACTCATTAAATTCTGGCGTGTCCTTGTTTGGACCATATGTATTAATTAGCAGCAAATTAAATTTCTCAAACGGTAAAATTTCTAAAATAAGAATATTTCCAATAGCATCACATTTACTTGTTAACACTTTATACTCAAAAGTATTACTAAACAATATCGCCACGCCTCGAGCATTTGATCTGATTCAAGTTTAATTTGAACTACACTACCCTGAGTGTCAGGGCACAGTAAAGCTATTCATATAGCTTTACTGGCCCTGAGGAACAGAGACAATGTTCGGTAACCGTCATCCAAAAAGAACTGCTCCGCAGTGAATCTGCAGTTGAATGTCATTAGTCCAAAATGAAACATAAAACAGATTTAATTTTGCTTTATTTAATTTTATTTACTGTGTTTAAGATGTAAATTGAAAAATAAATAATGAAATTTAAAAGAAAAAGATGTATCCCATTTTTTTTTTTTTTTTTTTTGCTTAGCAAAAGCATTTGCAATTTCAATTTTAGTGTCTCTGCCCTTTCACTCAGCAATGTCGATGGCGAGTCAATTCACCGTTGATATAACGGGAATGTTGACGGGTTGAAGTGTTCTTAAGTCTTGCTTTCAAACATCCAACCAACCGTGAAATATAGACTCCATTAAGATCTCCTGCCAAGGTCCTGCATGTCTCTAACTTCCAACACGTGATCCTGCCTGTCTCTTACATTCAAAATGTCTGCCCAACCCAGCATGGTAAAAGGTAGCAGGCCACGTGACAATATCTTACCTATGCTAATCATGTGTGGATGGACTAATATTGTGCTAGTTGCTCTGCTAGCGCACTTTTTGCACCTACACGTTGATTGTTGAATGATGTATGCTATTAGATGATTGCAATTGTTTCGTGAGTGAAAACTGCAAATGTTTTAATCGCTGGTTTCATTATTAGCAATTGTACAAAAGTGAAGTGTATCATTCCTTTCTTTTTGTAGAGTAAGTTCATCAAGTGGAACAACATGTTCTTGAGGACTCCTTGTGTCAAATTTTACACGCATAGCTTATCGTATTTCACGTTTCTTCTGATCCTGACGATGTACTTTTTGCCCGATGACAAAGCTAACGTCGCTCATGCCACAGATTTCCGATGGTCCGAGTATGCAATATTTATCTACGTGATAGGTAAGACACAACTACATTGAAAGTAATGCCAACCCCATGCTATTAATATGGCAGTACGCACCAGATTTATCTGCGATAAAATTAAATAGGTACAGTTTCTCGGAGGCAAATTTTTGATCAACAAATCCCTGTAATTACACTGTGTACTAAAATATCAATGGTTTTCAACTGTTATCGTGAGTAACTGTTGAAAAAGAAATTTATATTTCATATTTAGCAATGCTCCCTTACTAGACCGATGTCTATATTGGATTGCTTTATTGCTAATATATATATATATATATATATATATATATATATATATATATATATATATATATATATATATATATATTTCATGTTTTATTTAATCTTATAGGTTATTTTTGGGCTGAGGTTAAGCAGTTGTGTCGACAGGGAACGCGCTACTTCCAGAACGCCTTCAACATCCTGGATATCCTTTTGGTTATATTTTATTGTGCCTCGTTTGTCAGTCGTATAGTCTCGATTGTCAAGACAAGACAAGCCGCATTAGGAGTAAACCAAAATACAACAGAGGCGTACACGTATTATTACCAGATGGGTTGGTGTAGATTGTTTAATTGAACTATGCATAATTAAAATTGTGTAAGTTATGACAAATGTTTTAGTTTTCCTAATAGTGTTAGTATGTGTTTCTTATCCTCTTTTTTAAAAACTTAGTTGATTGTCCATTAGATCTTAATTAAGTTTTTGATAAATGATTGTCCGTGTGTACCATTCTTACTCTTTTTGCATTTTAGGTCGAATTGAATGGGAACGAAATGATCCAGAAATTATATCAGATGCCCTGTTTGCGTTGGCGAACATCATTAGTTTTTCTAGACTGGTGTATATTTTACCGACTTTCGAGTCTGTCGGTCCACTTCTAGTTGTTTTGGGTAAGCGCGCATATGATTATTAAGGCAATTATGCCTTTGTCACGAATAAACCTACATACATTAATAAGGATTCGTTAGTCAGTAAGGTTAATTTAGTCAAGGTTTTGGCAAAATAGTATGTCACTCTTTCCTTCAATTAGCGACAGTAGTTTCGATGTCAATCTTAGAATGGTAGATGCCTTTTGTTTGTATTAATCTTTTTCATTGTAAGTAATTGACTCATGTTTTTTTTTTAATTACACGTGTCTTGTCAACTATTAGGCAAGATGATCACAGATGTCTTTCGCTTTGCTGCCTTGCTGCTGATTGTGTTCATAGCCTTCACGGTTGGACTGCACAATCACTACCATTTCTATGAGGGTCAAACACTCCCTGATGGGTCGGAGACTAATTCTGCATTCCACGGGTAATTATTTATAGTCCCCATGCTATGAAAACAGGTTCTAGTATGTTTATTGTAAAAATTGGAATTTTAATTTACTTCCATTATTCTATTTTAAAGGGATAATAATTCTTCGTTTCGGCAAAAAATGAATTATTTCCCTGGAGTAAACAACAATTTTCACATACTTACCAATGGTTAATGAATCCATTTTTACATTCAAAGTTAAACCCTGTTTTTTTTCCTAAGAAAGTTTTTTTTGTTAAAATCTCTTAAGAGGCTTTAACAGAGAATAGCCATCAATGGAGGTCACGTGGTCTAAAGACAATCTGAGATATCAGAATAATAGCTATAAGTTTATGTTGTAAACAGAATTTATCATATTTCTATGAGTTATTCACAATGTTTTTATTGTAAAATATAGATCTCATACTAAGAGTTATTTTCCCTTTAACGACAAATAATATTTTACAATTTGACTTAATGAACCGTTTGAAGTCGAGCACGTCTGTGTACATTTATTTCGTTTTTTTTTTTTTTTTTTTATGTCCCGCACATTCGTATTTTTGCAGGTTTTTCAACACATTTCGCACACTGATGTGGTCCATCTTTGGCTTGGGGGACCCCAGTTCCGTAGAAATCCACATGAAGCACGCGTTTGTAGAGATAGTGGGAATCATTATGGTGGCTACATTCCATATTGTCATCGTTATAATGTTGATCAATATGCTCATTGCTATGATGACAATCTCTTTTGAAGCTATTCATGTAAGTATGAGATGTTGAATAGAATCATTAATGTTTAATGCATTTTGTCTAATAACTTTAAAATAATAATAATAATAATAATAATAATAATAATAATAATAATAATAATAATAATAAAAGAAACGGAGCAGTATTATGCATGCACGGTATATAATCTATGTGATTAAAATTATGGCCAAAGAAGTACGATCAATTATTTTTGTACAACAGCTTCATGCACCAAACATGCTGTAATTCCTTAATTCAAAATATTTACAGAACGACGCAGACATCGAATGGAAGGCCGCGAGGACAAGGTTATGGTTAGGATATATAGGGGAAGGATCTACTCTCCCCATCCCATTTAACTTAATACCCAGCCCCAAATGGTTGTTTTATCTCTTCGCCTGCAAGAAATGCGAGGCACCTAGTGAAAAGGTGTGTCACGTCTTTGATGATAAAAATAATAAATAATTAAAATGATAAATTTTTATAAGTCATAAAATGAGAAATTGTATTTTTTTTTTTCAAATAAATTTTGGAAGTGGATATTACTGTCGTATCAAGGTAATATTGAAAAAATGTCTGTAGGTAACATTAAACCCCAGAGCATAGAATTTTATTGTGCTTTCAATAAGGATAAATTGTAGCTTGAATAGTATAGCTTATATAGTTTAAATAGAATAGCAAACTGTGGGGGTTTGGGGAAAATAAACTGAAATTGTAGTCAATGAACTGTGACTGTTGAAAGTGTTATTTATCTTCAACATTTCGATTCTAAAGAAGTGAATAACTTAATATAGTATTATGAAATGGAATGTATTATTCCAACCATAATCAACAGTGACAGGCCTTTTCTAAATAACATAAAAGCTATATTAAAACTTACTTAAAACAACATGGAACGACATTTTGGAGGTGGATTGATTTGATAGATGAGCCCATTTTCGAATTTTAAGTAATCCAGGCTTTTCTGGCTTCAGAAAGAAATAGAGAAAAGCAACGAGGATTATGAAGGCATCATGGAAACTCTTAAAGAAAGGTTCAAAAAGAAAGCTGAAGAGGAGCAGAAAAAACATGGCTTGACATCCACCCGGACGGCGGGACCTACAGGTACTTGTAAAAAATTTAATATAAAAAGGTCTCTATCTGCATGACATCAGCAGTTGAGACGTCCATATGACTGCGTGTACGTGTGCTCCCTACTCTCCCCTTCTCTCTCCTCCTCTGTGCGTTTGTGAGATAGAAAGGGAGAAACAGGGAGAAAGTGCGTGAAACATGAGATGAGACACGTTTGTTTGCCAGTCAACATGCGTGTTTGAGCCGGATGGAATATATAGGCAGTGAGCATCGTAGTAGTAGAAGTTCCTGCATAAACGCACCCTTCAAGGATTTTTTTATAAAAGAACTACAATACTAAATTGGTGCTTTTGATCCGTTGATTTTTCTTCCAGCCAAAGGGACAGCGGGATGATGAAGACATCAGCAAATGGAACGTCGGGATGGTGAAGACATGAACCAGTGAAACAGCGGTTGATGACTGCATCACATTCTTTATTGCCATTGCTTAAGCGCGTTTACGTATTATTCGTACATAACGATCCATTTTAGTTTACAAACAATTAATTTGTTTCTACCGGTATAAATGTGGTCCCTCTAAAAGATAATTATAACTGTAGTGATATAATCCTGCATTGTTCGTATTAACACGCATTCGTCGTGCATTTACTTCATTGCCTGGTTTATACCTTAGTGTATATAATGAGTATAGAGTAGTCACAGTATTAGCATTAGAACATATCTGCTTTTTATATAAAAGTAAAAAAAAGAAAGAAAAAAAAGCTCAGTCACTGAAAGTAAAGCTTTTATATGCGGAATTTTCCTAACCGGTTTTTAATTACACTTGTTAATATAGTGAACATGTATAGCTACTTTCTATACAACCGTTTCGTCTCATTTTTTTCAATGTTTTTAGCGGGTGAACATGTGTAGGGTGTGTATGTTTTGATTGAGATGTTAAGGGGTTCAAAGTGTTTAGCTGCCTAACATGTTTTGCACCGGGGGCTCTGCATGGATCCGTGGGAAATATGAAAAAAAAGTAACTACATCAAGTCTGCAATATATATATATATATA